GCCCTCAAGACATGGCTTTTTCAGCAAGCGGGTCTGACCTAGGGTGAATTTTAAATAGGGACAATTTTAAGGATTTTATCAAGACACAGCGACAAATATTTGGTTTTTAATTGGCTTTTAGAGGGGAAATGTTTTATATTGTTTTAACATGCTGTGAGCCGCCCTGAGTCCCATGGGGAGAAGGGCGGCATATAAGTTGAAATATAAATATAAATAAAAAAAATTCTGCAATTTTCAAAAAAAATTCAGCGAAGTTGAAAAAGTTGGTGCCTTTTTGTTTTCATGGTTTAAGGAGAATAGTGAGCAAAGTGAACACCTTGTTGGATTCTATGTATTTTCTGGTTTATAAACCAGTTCTTAGCAATTATTTTCTGTGCTCACAAATAAGACATCTAAGAGCAGAAATCACTTGAATATCAGGAAGTGTGACAAAATATGTCATTTTTATGCAGGAGACATCCAGTTTCCGACTACGGCACCTCCAAAGTTTGTATGAGTTTGTATCACAAGCGACAACTGAGTTAATTTGGCTAAATGAAAAGGAGGAGGAAGAGCTCGCCTATGACTGGAGTGACAACAACCCTAACCTGACAACAAAGAAGAATTACTTCTCAGTGAGTAGAAAACTTCGTAGCAGCCAAAGGAGATTGCCTGGCCTCTATTAGGTCTTCTGGAAATCAAGAGACGAGACCAGTGAGGGAGGCTTTGTAATCACAATTTCATATTTTTCAATGTAGATATTGTAAGAGAGAGTGTTAGCTAAAAATCAGAGTCAAGTAGTCTGGTATTATTATCAGTCAAAGGCTTTGAGGGGTAGCATGTTGCTGACAGTAAACTTCCTTAGTTTTAAACATGCTACCAGACCCTTCCTGACATTTCTCTGTGAATTTAGTAGATAGAAGAAGTTATATTTCAGTGTGGTCTTCCAAAAATTCCTTATTTTGTTTTGACCTCCAAATGATGCTTCCTAACTTGCTCTTTCAGACTTTATACAGGCTGAAATCTTTTGGGCCAAATCAATACTAAATTATTTGTCTAGTCCTGTTGTTTCCACCATATCAAACTCTGATAATCCCACCCAGCTGCAGAAACCCTTTGGCACGGCATTTCCAAGACAGAACCGTCCTTCTCTTAAAAACCTCCAAAGAGTCTAGAATCTCTTGAGACGGCTGTTCTGAATTTGGATATCTCTTACCACTAGGACACTCTCCTTGATTTCCAGTAATCTCGGCCTCCAAGTCACTTGGAAATATGTTGAAGGGCACATGGCATGGAAGGGATCCCTGTGGAGCGCCCCTCCTCCTTTCCTCCACTTGACCCCGGGGCCTTTGGTGCGCATTTATTGCATGCATTGCTGACTCAGCTTGCTACCAACTTACAGCCTTATAGTCTGGACTCCCTTATGCCACTCCTTTGCTCGAATCTCATGGAAGACTTTGCTGAATTGAAGGTGTTCTACGCCATCAACAGTTTAATAATAATCAGCTAAACTGATCACTCCCTGATGATAATCAGTGATGATATCCCTGAAAATCACTAATCCAATGCTAATTTTTGTTTTATCCTAGTATTTTTGCCATCACATTTATGAATGATTCTAGTGGTTTTCAGCCTGCATAATATTTCTTTTTTTTTAAATGAGGAAAACAAGAGTGCCCACTATTTTTTTTTAAATGTTCAAGATATTGTTCATTTTTTCCCCTAAAATTATTAAGGATGTGAAAAATTATCTTATTGAATAATATGTAATTTAGATGTTGAAAATTGTCCTTGCCTGCCTCATCCTTAATCTTATAGCTGCACCCTTTTTGGAGTACAGCCTCAGCCCACCCCAAAAAGACCAGTATGATCCTCAACATTAAAATCCAGACCCTCCTGCTCAATTCCCCAATGGTGGGTTTCCATCTTTCTAAATTTCTCCACCTGCCTGACTTGTCTTTGGCCAAGAGGTACCCTCCTCCATCTGCTTCGGCAATGGAATCACCTAAGCCCTTCGTGTGTCCCCCACCCAGGAGCTGACAGCGGAACTGGAGGAGAAGCAGGAGGTCTTCCATGCTCTGCAAGATTCTGCTGAGCTGCTCTCGTTGGAGAATCACCCCGCCAAGCAAACAGTGGAGGTAGGACATGGCTGGGGGGGGGGGGGGGCTCTTATTGGCTCTTGCTTGGGAATGTTCTGGGAGGGGGTTAGGCAAGGCCAGGCCTTAGGATGGTTGTGTGTGTGTGTGTGTGTGTGTCCTTTTGGAGGAGCCTTTGCCACCTTTCATTCCCATGTGAATACATGTTTGATCCATGGATGAGTTTTAATATTAGTGCCCATGTAATAAAGCAATATATTGGAGGCCTTGTGCATCATGTAATGTACTCACAATTTAAACAGAAATATAAATCAATTGTCTTGTGTTCTGGAAGAGTTTCCTTTCTGGAACTTGGCATATAGTTGTGGGAAGTCTTTGTTCGAAACAGCCGTTTCTTTGCTTTTTCCCAGCTTCTGCTGAGCTGGGCAGTCTGGTCTTCAGCACAGCTTTGGTTGTCTCTTCCAGGCCTACAGTGCTGCAGTTCAGACGCAGTGGCACTGGATCAAGCAGCTGTGCTTGTGTGTGGATCAGCACTTGAGGGAGAACACCGCCTACTTCCAGGTAGGGCAGCCCAGGGAGGGCTGGGAATCCCCAGTCAATTCACCAGTGACACTGGAGCAGCCAGAGGCACTTCCACAGCACGACCTCAGTGGTAGTGAGGAGATGAGCTGATTTATTTCTGGCTCTGCTGTTGTGTAGCTGAAACTGCTGGGAAGCTGGCATCGGAGTGCCGCTCCCCCCCTTAGAGAGCCTCCTCTTTCTCTTCAGCTGCAAAAGGCTGGTGGGCTACTGCTACTTTTTCTGGGGAGGGGGGAAAAAGATTTTTGCTCCTTGAGAATCTAGACACAGCACAAGGAAGAGGAACCAAGAGGTGGGGGTGATTAGAGCTGGTGGAGATGCACAGGAACTCCTTTCCGCTCATAGTTGAAATGTTGGGTTGGCAAAGGTAATTTCTAGACATATCAGCACAGGCTTGAGCAACTGTTCCTGAGCCTCTTTCAGAAAGTGGCCAAAGGAGGAAGATTTTCCCAAAAGCAGTGCTTCTCCCCCATGGCAACTTTAGGATGTATGTACTTCAGTTCCCAGAATTCCCAGCCAGCATGCATCTGAAAGCTGCCACGGTTGAGAAATGCTTCCCTAAAGGACCCGTCCTTCTCACCTCTGAGAAGATGGTCAGAAGAAGTATTCCCCCCTGCAGTCTGGCCCACCGTTGCCCTGGATGCAGACGCGTTCTGCGGGGAATGGGCAAATGAAAGACTTCTTTATATCCTTCCAGTTCTTTGGTGACGCCCGGGAATCTGAGACGTTCTTGAAGAACCTCCAGGACAACATCAAAAGGAAGTATTCTTGTGACCGCCATACCAGCCTGACCCGCCTGGAGGACCTGCTTCAGGATTCCATGGTGGGTGCTTTTGGGGCAAGTCGGACGGTATCCTGTAGACCCAGAGACCTCCCGAACTTCTACAATTCCCCAACCGTTGCTAACTGTGCTGCTTGCGTGAATTCTGGTGGATGTCTTCCATTCCCCCCCCCCTCAGTTGCCTTCTTTGATGCTCTGGAAATGGATGAATTTGACTAGACTGGACCCCGACTCTGCTAACAGCTCTGTGCTTTAAAAGCAAATAAGGAATGTGCATGCATGTTAAAGCTCTTGGTTTTCTTGTTGGTCATTCCCAGACCTGCCTTACTGCAGTACTCTTGTGTTTGATGGGCACCCACCTCCGATGTATCTGTGAAGTGCTCCCTCTCTGTGGTCTCCAGCATGCCATTTATTTTCAGCTCGCTGAAGTGGGTGGCTGCTGCTGGGGAGCAGAGGGTGACGTGAAATTCTGAGTTGGGCCAAAGCTTGTCTCCCTTGATGGGGATCAGTCCTTCGGGTTCTTGAGGAAAAGAAAAAGCTTCCCATGGTGCTGCTGACGGACAGATGCTGTATAGTGCGGACTCTGTCGCTAAATTGGCTTCTCCCCCCTTCCTGACTGGCTGGCAGACACACATTGTCCTCTTAGGCCCAATCTCTGAGCAGCTCTGGGCCTACTGGCCTTGAATCAGAGGTGGAACAATCATGTCTTCTAGCTGTATCTTCTGAATTGCTTGGACTACAACACCAGTGATTCCCACCTGTGGTTCATAGAAATTAGGAGAGGGGCAGAAAAGTAAGTTCCTGACAAGAGTGAGCTTCTTGAGCTGATAATGAGAAATGGGGGGGGGTGTTTGCTGGTGAGACTTGTATTAAAATGTGGGTCTTTGGCTAAGAAAAGGAGGCTTGCAGGGTGGCCGAGGGAGACCGCTTGGAAAGCAAGACAGACAAAGATGGAGGTCAGTGGGAAAGAAGGGAGGGGCGGAGAAGGAGGGTCACTGGAAGCCTCCTCCTGGGTGGCAGCTTTGGGCTTGTGGCTGGGCAGCCTCCATCCGTGTTGGCTCCTGCCAGTGCTTTTGGCCTGGCCAGTGTTCTGGAGGAGACAGGGGAGAAGGGAGGGCACTTTGGGGCAGTCAGGCGAGGCAGCCTCCAGCTGTTTGGAGGGGAAAGTTGAAGGACCCAAGAAGAGACACTGCAGAGAAATGGAGGGGCTGCTGCAAAACAACCCAACAAAGGCTTGTTGCTGTTCGAGGGCTACAAGGAAGGCACCTGCCTGGGGCCAAAGTAGATGCCTAATGATCATAATGAATGAGTTACCCTTGTATTTCTTCCAACCATGCTCCCCTGGGACAGGCACAGGTAGCTCATTTTTAAGCTCTATCTATCTATCTATCTATCTATCTATCTATCTATCTATCTATCTATCTATCTATCTATCTATCTATCTATCTATCTATCTATCTATCTATCTATCTCTTTATCTCTCTCAACTATCTTCTTATCTATCAGCATTTCCTCAGCATTGTCTCAGCCAGATTTTAAGCTGCTTTCAATCAATGCATCAAACTTCCTGAACAACCTTTCTGCCACTGCTTCCATTTTTTTATTTTACAAAAATCGAGCCATTTTTCTTTTCAGTAAAGACTTGCTCTTATTGCCCTGCTCCCCAGGTAGTCTCGTCTTCGGGCTCTGGGATGTGCTCCGAGGCTGGTGAGCGAAGGGGCCTTGGAGCGTGAGCAGCCAGCAGAGCCTCTTGCCGGAAGAGGGGGTGGCTGGGGGCTCCTTGCCTGCCTCTGCTCGTGGGAGGACATGCCCCCTTTCACTCCTTCCCCTGGCAAAATGCTCACCCCAGATTTTTTTTTTGGGGGGGTGCAGGGCCTGTGTAGGAGCTTGGTGTCTTTTGGGGGGGTCCCCTTGCTGTCGCTGCCTCTCTCTGCCAGTCTCCTCATCACCGTCCCCTCGCTTTTATTTTGAGCAGGACGAGAAGGAGCAGCTCGTCCGGTCCAAGAGCTCGGTGGGCAGCTTAGTGGGAAGGTCCAAAAGCATCGTCCAGCTGAAGCCCAGAAACCCCGAGTGTCCTCTGAAGAGCACCATCTCCGTGAAGGCGGCCTGCGATTACCACCAAATCGAGGTGAGCGAGAGCAGCTGAAGGAAAACCGGGGAGTGCCTGCGAATTTCCCGAGTGAGAAATGTGTGGGTCGGTCTTCAGAATCCCTGTTTCCAGAATTTCAGAATCTCAGGTTTCTAAGTCGGGGTCTGCCGGTGGCCAGCCGTTGCTCCTCCCTGTCACGAGCGACTTGAATCCAAAGGTTTCTCACTGCAATCGGTCAGGCCCTTTTGCTGCGTTCTTAATTGTATCAAGTAGCCTGTTTAAGATGGAGAGAGGCCAGTTTGGCCCCAAATTCAGAGGGTCACTTAATGGGGAAAGAAGAAACGTCTGCTGGACTACAGAAACACCTTGGTTACCTCCACAGATCACAATCTGCCGCAACGACGAGTGTGTGCTGAAAGATAACGCTCAGCGAACCAAATGGAAAGTGATCAGTCCTGCTGGGAATGAGGCCACGGTGCCCTCCGTTTGCTTCTTGGTTCCCCCTCCCAATAGAGAGGCCATTGAAATGGCCAGCAGGTAAAGTGACCAAGGTCAGGATCCTGGGCAGATCCCTGTAGCAGTTTTGCAGAGTTCTCCACAGCCTGTGGTGGACAAAAAAAGCTTCAAAGGAATTCTGGGCATGGTGTTTGGCGCAAGGACTTAATAATTTATTCTTCTTCTTTTGCCAAAGAAGAGATTGGCTTCCAAAACATTGAGTCTGAACTTTTCTGTTTGTTTCTTTGTTTAGATTTTGCAATATTTTGCTCAACTGTTTTCTGTTTTGCTTTGTTTTGTTTTAACTTGAATTTTCGGATGCTTTTACTACTTTGAAGTTGGGTATGAAGAGCATTAGAGCAAAGTTCTCTTCCCTGACTGTAGTGAGAGGCAGCCTCCGAGGAGGGATGGGTAGATCCATCTCTTTTCGGGCCATCTCAGTCCCAGAGGTCCTCATTTATAAAGTCCCTGCCAAACTACAAATAAACATTTAAAATACCTATAAAAAGTTACATTTATTTTTCATAGATTTTCAGAAAATATGTATTTTGTATGCATTTCATCCTTGTACAAACACCTTTTTTGCATTTCAACTTGAAATGCACATTTTAAAACAGATATTTGAGCTGAGATCTCAAATAAAATACAGACATATGCAAGGCAGCCACCGGTGTTCATATCTCGCTAAACTTGATCCATCTCAGAAGCTAAGCAAGAGGCAGACGGTTGGAACAACAGAACAGACTAACAGAGCTGGAAGGGACCTTGGTAGTCTTCTAGTGATCTAGTCCAACCCCCTGCTCATTCCACTGATTAATGGAAATGGCAAACTGTTGGCCAGACTGGGAATCTGAGAAATGTCCCAGATAAAGGCAGGAGCAAACTAATTAAGTAACAATGCCATAACAATGGCAAAGACTTGTTCATGAAGAGCCAGGAGGAAACATGGACAGTCAAAGGAGAAATGTAAAATAATAGAATAGAATAGAGCTGGAAGGGACCTTGGAGGTCTTCTAGTCCAGCCCCCCACTTGAGTAGGAGAATCTATACCATATCAGACAAGTGACTGTCTTGCCTCTTCTTAAAAATCTCCAGTGATGGAGCGCCCGTGATTTCTGGAGGCAAGCTGTTCCACTGGTTGATTGTCCTCACTGTCAGGAAGTTTCTCCTTAATTCCAGGTTGCTTCTCTCTTTGGTCAGTTTCCAACCATTGTTTCTTGTCCTGCCCTCTGGTGCTTTGGAGAATAATTTGACCCCCTTTTCTTCAGCCCCTCAAATAGTGGAAGACTGCTATCAGTTTGAGTACAGTAATGGCAAGGAGATCAGCTCCTGCAAAGATTCAAAGTGCTTGAAATCCTTGGCCATCCTTTGCTGAGCTCCTTGTCATCATGAGCCAGGTGCTTATTTGAAGATCAGATACAGGGCTTCATCGCATGTAGGTGCTGCTCAGTCATGGTGCTCCCCTGAGGAGGAGCTGAGAAACCTTTGCTGTGCCTTCTTCTTACAGAGTGGAGCAGCTCTACCAGAAGGTGATGTCCTTGTGGCACCAGCTGCATGTCAACATGAAAAGCCTGGTCTCCTGGAACTATTTGAGGAAGGATATCACTTTGGTGCAGAGTTGGAACCGGGAGAAGGTAATGATGTAGATCTCTGGAAAGTTGGTTGTGGCATTTTCAGTAACAAAGGAAGGATGAGCAGTTGAAAATCGTGGATGAAATGCAGCCTTGTGAATGGGCAGGGCTGGAACAGGACCTGAGGTGGCATCTGTTCCAAGACGAAAATTTGGCAGCAGCAGCAGATTGGCAAGACGGGGAATTCAAGAGTCACCTTGCAACCAAAGATTTCATAGTAAAATTTAACTGATTAAAAATAGGTTGTGCTCGACTTATGACCATAATTGAGCCTGGAATTATGATCTTAAATCATGGTAGGAATTCAGTGGGTTACCATGTGATTGTGCCCGATTTTACCGGTGGTCATTAAGTGATCCACGTACATGTACTCGTTAAACAAACCCATACTAGCAAATGGGCATTTTTGGCTGGGAACGGGAAGTAAATGCCGGTTTCCATCGAAGAATGCTGAACATCAGGATCACGTTACCCTGGGGAGGCTGCCCACGGCCGTAAAGGTGGACTGGTTGCCCGGCACCCCCAATGCAATCATGTGATGGAGGCGCAGCCAGTGAATCTCTGGGGACCGGTCATAAATCGAGGACTCCCTGTATTTACATGATGTTATCAATATAAAGGCATTTTGTTGGATAAGCAAAGGAAACAATTCCCTGCCCCAATAAGCTTAAATAAAATTTTGCATTAGGTTAGGTATTTATGAAACACCACTGTCTTCTTAACAAGTTAATGTTCTTTCCCCAATTAGTCACCTTCCCAAGCAATGTGTAGCCATGTTGTAGAGACCTTGACCAGTGTATGCACTCGCTGTGAAACTCTCTGGGAAAATAAGTTGCTTAAAAACATCTGGCTGGAGATGCCACCTGCCTGGCAGACGGAGTGGTGCGTGGGGCCTCTGGGCCAGCCTCGACTGCCCTGCTTGGTGCCACGATCCTCATGCAGCTGTGCCCTTTGTGTTCCTTGTGACTCACAGCTGCGGGTCCTGGCCCCAGGAGAATGCCACCATGCCATGAAGAACCTGCAGATGCACTTTGCAGACTTCTTGGAGGACAGCCGAAACTCGGAGATCTTCTCCCTGGCGGACCAGCTGCACCTCGAGGAAGAGGTCAACTCGTGCAAAGAGCATTTTCAGCGGCTTTTCCAGTCCATGGAAAATGGTGAGCCTCCTGCAATGTTCAGAGCAGTCCCCAGAGCTGGGAGCGCAATATATGTGTGTGGCATTTAAGGCTGTTTGGTAGTTTTATGTCTGATCTGTTCGTATGGATTTTGAGGGGGTTTGTGTGCTACCTGAAGTTCATTGGAATTGGAGAGTTTAATTGTGGTGATTGTATTTGAGATTATTTTCATGGTTTACTTGTGAAGGTCTCCAGTCTGTTCTGAGGAAAAGAGTGTTACAGAAAGCAAGAAATAATAAATTTGGCAGAAAGTTCAAAGGAATAAGGAACACATTGTTCAAATATTGTGTGAGAAGTCTCTGCCCAGGTTTATTCTGCCCTCAACCAGCGACTCTCCTGCGGAGCAGGACAGGCCAGAGCAGGTAGCCCAGTTCAGTGGGCTCCTGTGTCCCCAGCAGAGAACCATCATTGTGGGCTTGGCTGCTGCTTTGAGGGGTTTGTCTCTGCCTCTGGACTGTGCACGCCTCTCTTGGGGAAAAGGCGAAGGTCCCCTGACAGCCAGAAGCAGTTAGCTCAGCAACCAAGGGTGCCCTCCTGAGGCTCTGGGCTCAGGCTCAGCTCTGCTTCCCGCCATCAGCGGTGATGTTTCCAGCCTGTTGTCTGTGGCTCTTTTAACCAGAGAGGGAGGGTGGGGGTGTAAATATAAATCTGGAGGCTGTGTCTTGAAAACAGGCATGCTGCCCCAAATCTATAAAATATTTGAGTTCACCGTTTAACTTCTTTTATATGTGAGCAGAGGATAAAGATGAGACTGCTTCTCAGACTTACCTCTCCGAGCTCAAGAACATCCGGCTTCACCTGGAGGAATGTGAGCAGCGGCTGGTGGGCACCATCCGGACACCAAGCAGCACCAGAACCGACGGGGATGCTCTGCAGGAAAACACTTTCCGAATGGCCGAGCAGGAGGTTGGCCTTTCTGGATGACTGGGGCGGTGGTGGCGGTGTGCTTTAAAAATTGCCCAGGCTGCATTCTCTTTAGATAAGAGGCAGGACAGAGAATCCAGAGGTCACGGATCGTGCTGTCATCCTGCACTAGTGTGGAATTTAAGAGGAATCCTTGTACTTATTCCTCACAAAATGAACTCCTATTTTGTTTCTTAATTTCCTGCAAATTGCAGCAGCAGCTTCTGAGGGAGACCCAGAACTGTGAAGTCCTTCAGTTTTTTGTTTTGCTTCTTCTTCATCTTGCCAATTGGAAGAAGCAAATTCGTTTAAAATCTTTCTCTGAGTTGCAGTACAAACTCACCAGCAAGAGTTTGTGTTGCTTTGATGCATAATCTTGCTTTCAAGGGTCTGCCAGTTTTGTACAACTCTATGTTTGCTTGAAATGCTCATCAGCCCTTTCTAAATCTCGGGGGTGAGACTGCTTTTGTTATTATGCTTATTTTCTATCCCTCTTTCGTCCCCAAATGTTAGTACGTAGTATCTTCCTAATATATACTGAATGTTATATTCACACATTTAAAGAAAATGTCAAATCACCAGCATAATCCAGACTGGGGAAAAAACCTGGTGGCATAGAAGAGGGTTCTGTAAAGGTTGAGACCAGATATGCACAATCTCGATTCTGCCAGCGGCATCTCTTCCAAAAAGATCCTTCCTTAAATACTTGATCACCAGATATCTGATTGTGGGGCAGCTTGGATGAGGTCATCATGATCCCAGGCCTCTCAGTCCTGCTTCTGGTCGCCAAGGAGGCCTCGGGGTTCTGCTTGTGCTCACAATTTGTGATTATTTCTGCAGCGCCTGAAGAGAGATTTGCACCAGTTGAAAGTCGACATGGATCAACTGACTGAGAGATGCAACATTTTTTTGCACAAGTCTCCCACGGGATCAAGTACCCCACAACTTCGTTCTGAGCTGAACCTGCTGGTGGAAAAGATGGATCAGGTCAATGGGCTCTCTGCAGTCTACCTGGACAAGTGAGTGACTGGCATTTCCCCTGTAAATTCCAGAAGGGGAACCATGGTCTAGCCATGTAAGAGAAACCTGGCAAGTGGCAGAACACCAGACCCTTGGCCCCTCTACCTTGGGATGTTTTGTACTATTAAAAAGAAAATTTGGGGAAAGAGAGCCTTCCTGGTAGATTTGGGCTGCCTGCCAATAAAATGTAGCCTACAGAAAACTGTTTGATTGTGGGGTGAACTGATGAGTTCATGTAATCACAGAGAATCGTTTTTGTAGGGCCATCAGGAAAAATCTCTTGAATCCAATTTCTTGAAGGCAACAAATAATCTCTGGTTGCATTTTAAAAAATAGCTGGAGACGAAGACAGATTGTCTCTTTTGCTTTGCTATAAATGTATGAAATTGTAACTCGCTTTGTAGGATGCTCTGCAGTTATTCCAGGAACTGTGGGTGCACTGCAAAAGATAGGCAGCATTTGCGTAAACAGCCCAAATTTACGAGTCATGTTAACTGTTTAAAAACATAGAGGAGATGTACCCTTCTGTCTGATACACAAAATAAATATCCTGTAATGCACACAAATGTATAAAGGAGAAGTCTGAATGCTAGCTAGATCCCCCGGGTGCTCAGCGTTCATGGGTCCTCGGTCTCAGACTCATTTTGACTGAGATCTAGGCATCTGCAGAGAGCCATAAATTGTACAGGCAGCTAATTTTTCTGTCTCTCCCCTGCCCTCTCCTGCCATGAAGTGCCAGCACTCAGATTGCTTTTTACAAAATAAGTAGTGACCTAATTGTTTTCTATAGTGTTCGTGAAATGTTTATTAACCTTATAACACTGATGTGTCCGGCGCTGGTCCCTTCCTTATCTGTAAATGGTAGAGCTTTGCAGTGTACGTAACTTGGTGGTGTAGAGAAATTCAGTTCTGCTTTTGAAAGGAGAAGTTGGGAGAGATAAAAAGAGAAAAGTAGAGCGCCCGAGAAAGAGATGAACAGCCCAGTCCTAACTGTGTTGTCCTTAAAAGGGGGCAGGGAAGCTTTTAAAATTCTGGCAATGGATTCTACAATGATAGTTGCATTTTTGGAATCTCCACAGGGTCTGTTTTGTGACCTGGCCCACCTCAAAGGGGGCTTTCAGAAGTGGCAGTGGGCAAGAAGGGGATGGAGGGAAGGGAAAGACTCTGAATGTGCTTTTACTGTTCAACAGTGCAGTCCTGGCCTGGATGGCTTCTGGTTGGCTGTTCATGTTTCAGGAAATTACATTTTCCTTTTTTTCCCTTTGGTAGGCTAAAGATGGTTGATGTTATCATTCAGAATACGCAAGGAGCTGAATCCTTGGTCAAAGGCTATGAGGTGAAACTGAGTCAAGAGGAAGCTGTGCCTGCGGACCTCATCGCCATCCAGTCCCACCGAGCCACCTTGCAGGTTGGTAGCCCTGAGATGCTCTTGCACAAGGCCACGGATCACGCCAGCTGTGCCCTTCTGTCTGCTGGGGAAATGCCAGCCTGTCTCTGCTCTTGCAGAAGGGTTCTCTGGGCCAGGGATAGGCAACCTTGGCTCCGTGGTGGATTTCTTTGGTTCTGCCCACGGCCCTCTTCCACCGGAAAGACCAAGAGCTTCTAGGAGAGTATCTGTCCAAATCCCAGGGCTTGGTGCTGGGAAGCTGAAAGGAAACATCCTTCCACGAGGCCTGGGGAAAGCAGAGGGGCCACGCGAGGCGTGGACCAAAATCTCGCCAGAAGCTGCTGAGGGACTCGCCTCCAGAGGAGGGTTCCTTTCGTGAACTGGCTCCACTTAAATCCTCACCCAGGTTCAGTCCCCTTTGCTTAACCCCCAGTTCAAGCTGTTTTGGAGCACAGTCGCACACAGGCCTCCCTCCAAGCAGGCCTGAAGAGTCCATGTCAATGCCAGAGGGTGAGGTTTGGCTTTTGGGGTGGGGTGGGGGGTTGACAAAATGGTTGTGCTGGAACCTCTTTTCCCCCAAAGTATCTTTCTCCAAATTCATTTTGTAAAAACAAGCAAGAGGAGAGACCTGCCTTCCTTACTCTGTTCACTGGGCCTTCGTGCTCATTATCATCAGCCAACAAAGGAGGCACCTCTGTTTCTGAGGACCAAAGTGCTGCTTTTTTGGGCTAGTAGATGCATTTAATCCTGAATCCCTCACTGCCAGGATTACCCAGCAGAGAGAGATTACCAGCCCTTCAGCACTCAAAAAACAACAACAGGAAAAAAAGTATCAAGGTTTCTTTGGATGCACTTGCACACTTGTAGGTAACATTCCTGCCAGAAAATCTGTTCACCTGCAGAAGGTTCAGCAGCTGAGCAGGTTGTTGTCTTGGTCACCCTGCGAAGCAACCACCTGGATTGAGAGGGGAACCTCCTCTTCTGAACACTCAGCCCACTGCGAGTAGCCTGGGGCAGCTGACGTGGCTGAGGTCCTCAGTGGCACCCAGGTCTCTCGGCCCAGCAGCTAAAGGCTTGTGGGGCTGGTTGACCAGTGACTGGAGTTTCATGATCATGAAGAAGCCATTGAAGTCAGGTCCTCTGGAGCATTGTAGCAACACATTAATGCGTGTTCACTGTTGGGGCAGAAAAGCAGAGCAAAATTTGGAACAGGGCTGCCCAAACCCCAGCTGTGAAAAATGAGCGGGAATAGGCTGAGAATGAAGCCACCAGGAAATGGCCTGTTTCCATATCCAGGATCGCTTGTCCATTAGTTTGGTCAATGGTAACGTTTGCTCCTTGTCCTTGTTGTATATCGTTAATATTCCAGCACTGGGTCAGTGAAGTGAACACCAAGAATGCCGTCTTTGCAACCTTGGAGGATGGCTTGGCAAGGGCCAAGGTGGTAGCAGAGCAGCTGTACCGCTTAAAGCAGGAGCGCAGCCTGGACCTGGAGCACTACCGGGAGAAGGGGGCTCAGCTGTGGGATCGCTGGCAAAGAGTCAGCCTGCAGATGGAGACTCGGTGAGGAGGGGCTGAGTGGAGGTTTTTGAGATTCTCTGCTTTAAATGTTCAGAATCAGCTTATCAGGTTTTGGTATCTCCAATTCGGCAACATTGTTCAAAGGTAATGGCAAAAACAGGGCAAACTGCTTATAGTCTTGGCCACATTTTATTTTGATTGCCTGTATAGTTCTCCCTAGAGAATTGTGTCACATGTGATGTTTGGATCACTCTTAACATAAAGTTTTAATATATTCTCTTTTGATTAGTTGAATATGGATATTCTTAGATTAGACAAAACACTTTGTTAATATTTATATTGTATTTCACGATTTATGATGAATGTTTATGATCATGATTATCACTACTACTTGTATGTACATTGAGAGCTTATGCACCGGAAACAAATTCCTTGTGTGTCCAACCACACTCGGCCAATAAATTCTATTCTATTCTAGTAAACTTTTATAGATTGCAAACCACTTCAGACAAAGGGTGTCCAGGGAGTGTGGTCAAAAAAGTCAAATTGGGAAGGACATAGGCATTTCATTGCGTGCCATGGAATCACATTCACTATTTTAAAATCATACTCTGTGGATGTCCCTGAAAGGTGTTTCCCTCTACTGTTCTATTATGCATGCACCGTGTTTGAACCATATTTCATCAGCTGGCATTCTCTCCTTTCCTCTGCCTCATTTCCTCAATTTCGTGGCAGGAAATCTGAGCTGGAGAACATTGAGGATGTACTCAGGGATTATCGGAGCTGTCACAGGGCCCTCGTCCGGTGGATTGAGCAGACCACCGTCCAGCAGGAGCTGATGAAGCCCGGGCAAGCAGAGGACAGCCGGGTGCTCTCTGAGCAGCTCAGTCAACAGATGGTAAGGAGGGTGATGGAGAGATGCACCTTCTCTCTCTGGAACTACAATTTCCCTCATTCTCATCCAGGTTGAATCAACACGTGAATGTCTTGGCACTTGGAAAAATAACGTCTCTAGCTTTGTGAGCGCTGTGATTCCGCACTTTATATCTTCTCTAGATCCGTCTAACTTCCCAAGCAACAGATGCCTCATTGCTATTGCTGTCTGGGAAGAGAAAATCTATTTGATTTCAGTATCAGCTGCGTACATGCTAGACTTAATGGCCTTTTGGTCCAACATAGCTGGCCATCCCTTACAGCAGATACATATCCTTCGAAGTAAGAGCTATAGATTGAAAGGGAAAGGTTGCCGCTTCTCCAAGAAAGACTGAAAGCACAAGGGAAACACAAGACATGGCTTAATAAGAAAGTCAGGGTATTGGAGATGCCATGTGGACAGATCTCTCCTCTCCAAAACATGGATAGAGGGCGGGGGGAAAGCACAAAAGCATCCTGCTTGTAATTATGATTTTGACTTCTGCTTTTATTTTGAATTTAAGGCTCTGTTTGCTGAAATAGAAGCAAATCAAGCTAACCTGGACCAATGTCAGAAGCTGTCTCAGCAATATTCAGCTGCTGTCAAGGTAACCTGTTTCTTCTAGTTGTGCAAAGAAACGGCAGGCATACAAAGGCGAAGAATGTAGGACTAGCTGGGGCAGAGTTTGGCAAACCTGAGGCTGGTTCTGAAATAATCCTGGGCATTTGGGGAAAGGTTGTTTCAGATAATAGACAAACCTTTTCCAGAAAGAACATATCAGTGCATTGCTGGGGTGTGATGAACGGCAGGAAAGAAGTTGCTAGTCATTCACTATGATTAAAACATTCAACAGTATTTCATATTATTAATTATATTATAAATTTATTATTATTATTAAATATTTTGTTATGTGCATCCAAAGTGCAGATGCTTCATGTAATCTTCTGAAACATTTGTGCTGCTTTGCACTTTTTGAAAGAAATTGGATCAGACAGTTCCGATGGTCGCAGTCTGAATAGTTTGTTACCATAGTTGGTAATTAATTAAGCTCTTTGCTTGCTTCAGAAGAGGGGTTTTGGTTTTGGGGGGGGGGTTGGTGGTGATGTCCAGGAACTGGCCCAGAGTGGGTACAGAAGTCACCTGACTCAGTAAATTGGTTGGGGCACAATTTGCTTTGGGTTGGTAGGATGGTGACCTACTTTGGTTACTTTGAGAAAGAGCATCCAGGTGTATCAGTCAGCTGTGGGAATATGGAATGTGACTTACGAAATGACCAAAACCCCTTTTGTCGTTTTCCCCTCTCAGGAGTATGAGTTGCAGCTCATGACCTACCGTGCGTTTGTGGAATCTCAGCAAAAATCGCCTGTGAAGCGCCGGCGTGTTCTTTCCTCCTCCGATGCCATCACGCAAGAGGTGAGGCTCCTGCCAGCCTTGAGTTTTTCTCTGCACGGCTTGGTGGGCGAGAGGATTTTCAGTTCTTGGCATTGGTCTTACAAGCTGCTTTCTTTCCAGATCATATTAACTTTTACCTTTAGAGAATAAAACCCTGATGAAAATTATCCAAGAAAGCCAGTCAAGTCGTTGGTCTTCCAAGCCATGCACATGGATACCAACTCTTGGTCCGTGTGCTTAGTCAAAATGATGGAAGGTTTTGTTAACTGGAACTCTTAGACACCGAACCTCTGACTATGCTGCTAACAGGGAGAGCATAAGGATTGCTCTTTGCCACCTCTGGAAGGTTCCAAGTCTTCTTCCAGATTCAGGGATTTCCCCCTTTCATCTCGAGGGTCAAAAGAGACATGCAAGGAAAGCTCTTGCCTTTCACATCATACACACCACAGTTCTTCTCGCAGTTAGTTTGAGAAATGCTTGTCTCATCCCTGAGATTGATTGTGAATCACCCCCTCCTCTTTGCCTTCCTTTTTGTTCCTTTTTGTGGGGAGGGGGAGTATCTTGCTTCTGAGGTTTCTCCCTTGGCTTTTGCAGTGAGGGACCACTTTCTGTACTCTCCTGAATGAGATCCATTTTACACTATGTTTCATTGTTGCTGGGTTTAATGGGTGTGTTCCTTGTGCTTCTCGTACCTGTAGTTCATGGATTTACGGACACACTATACAGCCTTGGTCACATTGACTACGCAACATGTGAAGTACATAAGTGATGCTCTCCGGCGCCTGGAAGAGGAAGAAGTAAGGACAGAATTTATGTAATCTAGTATTTGCCTTGTGAATCCAGTTCAGCCCCCTGGAGTCTTGCACCAGGTTTTATCTCATAAGATCATGAGAAGTTGGTTACTCTTCTTGGGGAGGCACCAGGATTGCACCTGTGTAGAGGGGAGGGTCTTGAAGAAATTCTGACTCAGCAGGTCTGAACTCCTCCTCTGGAAACTGGTCCCTCAAGGGGAGGACCCAGCTCTATATCCTCCAGGCTGGTCAGCTTAGCACCCAAGACAAAGGACCTTAGCAGAACTGTGTACTCTTTGCATTCAAAGACTTTTAGTTTCATGTCATCTTTGTGCGTTGTTTCACCTTTCCCGACACACTGGAGAGGACCTCTCCAGTCCCCTGAGTTCACTTCCTCTTCAGTGTTGTTCTCTTAGCCCTGGGAAGCCCACAGACAGGTTTACATTCACTCACCTTAGAAGATGACATCAACTACATTCTGGTTCTAGCACACTGATCACATGTGGTTTTATATTGTTTTGCCTGTAAGAAGCACTGCAGGTGTCAGTGACATTGGTGCATATATTATGTATCAACATTCCATTTTTTTCAGAAAGTTGTTGAGGAAGAGAAGCAGGAACACCTGGACAAGGTGAAAGGACTCCTGGGCTGGGTCACAAGCTTCAAGCAGAGTCCACTATTCAGAAGCATCTCACCCACAAAGAGGAAAATGCTGGGAGATATTGAGAAGTCCATTTTGGAGCAGCAGGTGCCTGCATGGGTTGAAGGCCCACATTTCCTTTTATGTTTCTTTCTCATTATAGACCATGGGCCAGGTCACACGAGTCGTGCTTAATTTATGTTTCCAGTGCGATCCACCTCTATCTGAGCTTTTTCTTGTGCTCATTTTTTGGGAAATGTATCATTTGAACTTTCCCTTCTCTTTCTTCTTTTCAGGTCTTGAATGAAGAATTGGCTGCAAAGAAGGAGGAAGTTTCAGAAGCTATAAAAACTACTCAAATATTTCTTGCAAAGCATAGCAACAAGTAAGTTGAGAAAATAACATGAATCCGGAAAGTTGGATTGCGGGAAGCCTGCAAAGCAGACTCCCAGAATAATTTTTAATGAAACTTCGGCAGATCACCAAATTGTACAAGTTATTTGCATTTTTACTGGAAATCTCATGATTTTGACCTTTTTCTGGGAAAAAATTGTGTAAAGGATACTCTGAATAATTCTCCAGAAACATAATGGAACAAGATCAAATTTGAAAATGGGCCATTTCTGGCCAGGAAAATAAAAATCCTGAAAAATGTCCCCTAGAAGACTCTGATCCAGGAGAGGCACTTGGGCCGTGACTCGGGGCTTTAGACCACTCCATTCTTAAGGCCTCTCCAGGAGATCTGCATGGGTGGTCAAAGAAGTCATGACGGTGTTTGCGTTGATGCAGTCAACACACATAGAAGCCATATGGAACTTTGACCTGGACTTCTTATCCTACTCTTTGTAATGAATTTTTATTCCATTGGGAGGTCTCCAGAAGACCTTGATGATGGAGGTAGTGGTCCACTTAAAGAAAAAGGTTGGGCGTTGCTGCCTTAGTAAGTTATTCCATCTTCCTATATCCAGGTCACATCTTGGATATAGAAAGTGGTATCAATATTGACTTATTAAATAAACACAAATTCCTGCTCATAGAGTATTTATAAACCAGTCACCCACCATTCACATTTGAGGCCTTGGGAAAGTGGGGTTCATTGATGTTTGAGGGTTTTGGCCAGGATGACCCTTTGCATGGGCAACTTTGTGTATTGGAAGGCAGGATCTCCACCAGCTGCCCACTGGCTGTGTCTCTGTTCCAACTGTCTTCCTTCCATCACTGCAGGCTTTCTGATCAGGAGAAGGTGCAGATTTCAGTCCAGCTGGATGCTCTCAAAGAAACGTATGACCAGCTCTGCTGTGATTCCACAGAACAGCTTCAGCAGCTGCAGAAACACATGGCTCAGGAGATGGCACATAAGGTAGCTCTTTTCCCATTCCCTTTCCCCCCACATCTGTGGCATTCTTTCCCCAGCGGTAGAAGAGACGGTCCATGCTTAGAAACACCCTGAAAAACTGTGAAAGTTCATACAGGCAACCCCCCTCTTCCCGTCTATGACAACACGAGGACAAAATTCTCAGTCTGTATGGATTACTGGAACCAAGCTGAGAGGGTTTCATATAGCAGCTAACTGTCAGTACATGGTAGACTAGGCCTGTCCCCTGGAGGGCTCCTGTTTCTTTCTCAGAGAGAAGGTGTGCTTTTGTGCTCCCTCCAGTAACGTTTCTCTTGGACAGTTGTGAAAGGCCTGTCAAGGTTGGCCTCTCATCACCATCCACCCTTTGAAAATATATAAGGAAATGTCCAGGTCTGCTCCCATCTTACTATCAGCCCCTCTCCTGCATTTGGCTGCTTCTGCAAGAAAAGAAGGGACCAAAACTTATGGGAACTACCCAAGGAACCCTTAGCAGATCCCGTGTAGAAGAAGACAGTGAAGGTGGAGGGGAGGATTGTTCAGGAAACAAGGAACAAAAGTGAAAGTCACAGAAATAAGCCAGATGACCTACAAAGGGAAGGTAAGATTGTGGAAGGAAACTGAGAAAGAGTAAAGCAGAGTTAATAACTTGGCTGAAATAGGATTTATGCTTGTAATCCCAAAAGAGCAAGGAGAAAGAATGTTTCTCTTCCCCTCTCGGTTGCCCCACGGAAAGACAGTATACACAGCCAGTTCCCAAGCCTACAATGCTCTCCAGTCATAAAGGTGTCAGTGGTCGAAAATAGTCAATTTCTTCCTTCCGTCCTGTTTTTCTGCAGCCTTCTGCTACTTGGTGCCCTCTTTTCTTATACCCTTGGCCAATTGTCTGAGCATCCGTCCCATCTTTGTTACTGCTTTGTTCATAAGTCCTATCTGGATATATCTGTATATCATTGTATATAAATGTGATATTCATGTGTCCAATGCAACTTGTATATCTGTGTGAAGTTGTGTTTTTAATGCTTGCAGGATCCCTCTACTTTGAAGCATTGCAAACCAAAACAGCCAGATTTTTTTACTTGGGGCAGCTGTTTTAAATCCTGGCATCACCGCATGTCACAAAATCATCAGCAGGTTCTTCTCCCAAGTACTGTAACCATTGAATTTAGGATTCCTTTGCCAAATTATCTTTTGTCCCAGCCTAGAAAAGCCCATGTATTTCTTCCTGTCCACTATGATTCTTCTTAGGAACAATGTATTAAGAACCAAGCATCCCTTATAATTCTGGATGCTGATGTGAAACGTCATTGGCTCTGGGGAAATGGAGGGAGAGGAATCTGAAGGGTGTTTTTCAACTTCACATGAGAATAAGAATGAAGTTCTGAAGTTTGGTTTGGGTGCTTCATGGTTGCATGGAACCTCTTAAACATTTTCTGCTTCTGGAAAACCTCCAATCCTTGGGGGTAGAAGGATTGTTCAAGTTAAGGCAATGGGTGGAGCAGACAGAGCTGCACAGCCAAAATACCAAAACTAGCAGAAGTCTCTGCATTGAGCATGATGATGTGTCCCTGTTGTTTTCTGTTTCATGTTTATTTACTATTCAGAATAACTGCCATCTTTGTTTACAATTTTCTGTTATTGTTTTTGAGAAACTAACCTTCCTGGAGTTTGCACCAAAAATCTCACTCTAGAAATGTGGGGCAGTTGTATGGGTTGGGCTTTGTGTGGGTGTTCTTTCTACTTTTTGTGCAAAACAAACAGTCGCATGCCGGATGCTAACCCCCAGCTTTTACACTGTGTGTGCCGTACGGCTGAGCTGCTACCTAAAGGCTCTGTCTTTAACTGCTCACGGCAACGTCCCCAACTCGGGTAAGTAAGAAGCCTTTTGACGCTTCTCCTTCTCCTTCTTTCCCTCTTCTTTTAATACCTGACTGTGCATGTCTGGAGTCGTGGCTGTGGTGCTAGCAGGCTTGGAAGGCCTCTGCAATTGAACTGCCATCCTGCCTCGCTTGTCCCAGGGAGCAGGAGGAGGTTCACAGGGGAATCTCTTGGCAGAAGAATGCTGCACAACTTTCTCACCCATGGACCTGTAGTCTTCCTGGTCCAGAACTTCCAAGATGTAAAGATTCACAGATTCTCTTCCTCCTTTCAGTTCATGCTGACCTGCAGCTAGACCAAGAAAACACAGCATTCCGTGACAGGCACCAATTGTGTGTCGTAGTGGGAGAGAGGCTATCGGCTTAAACCGCAGCGTTGTCATTCGGATCACTTTGTAGAATTGTATTTGCAGTGGTCTTGGACCCAGTTCCCATGTGATTGAAAAGCATTTTATTGAACACATTTCTTCACAGTTGCTTGCAGGGGGGGATGGTTAAGGGTAAGCAAGTAATTTGGTCCTCCGAGGGCAGACCACAGGTATTTATTTACTGTATTTAATATGCGGCTTCATTGTCCCTTGGAATTGGGTGGCTCATAAATTCAAATAAAATATTTTGTACCACTCAAGACACAATACAGAATTCTCCCTCTTCCCCGTGACTACAAAAAACCTGTCATGGGCTGTGCCTGAGCCCAAAAGGAGGACTACATCTTATGATCTCTTGGTTTCTAGTCCAGCTCTTTCCATGGCTCCAAATTGATTTCTTCCAAACATCGTGCGATTTAGATTTTTCCATGTAAGTGAGGCTGGCTCATAAAGACTTTAGAAGAACTGCAGCGTCTTGAAATTAAGAAAGCCACATTTGGTTAGTAGAAAGCACTTGGCTGCATCTCTTCCTCTAGGCTGCCACTCCCAAACCCATCAAAGGGACGTTGTGAAAGTTGCAAAGCAAAAAGGGAACCTGTTGCCTCTCTAGGGAACTGCATGCTCTCTCCTGCTCCCTTTTCTCGGGCCTACGTGGGTGAGCTGTGTTGTGGTCCTTCTGTGCTTCCTGTCTCCTCCTTTGAATAAAGGGGACCCCGAGGAGTGTGTGGCTGTGGTTCTTAGTGTGCTTCTCTCCCTTTTCCTCTGTCTTTTTCCACTGGGGAAAGTGGCTGCAAGGATGCTCCTGCTGCTTTGCTGCTCTTGCTGGGTGCCCAAAATGTCTCAGTAGTGCCTCACCTGCCTGGCTAAATTGAGCTCCAAACTGAAAACAGTTTGCAAGATCAAAATTGTGTTCCTGTGTTATGTGATACAATGTATAAATTACCAGCCTAATCAAGGTCTGCTCTCTAGTTCAGTATTCACCGTGCTTTAGATGACTGAGACATCTTGGACTGGGATGCATTTATAAGTCCACTATTACTGTGATTCTGATATTTTTTTCTCTCTTTCCTCTCCCTGCTCCCCTGCCCCAGGGAAATGAGGCTATTGCTGGAGTGCTAGATCTTGGCACAATGGAAGTCTCCTCTATTTTTGACGCCATGCAAAAAGGTCTCCTAGACCAAGAAACAGGCCTTCTGCTCTTGGAAGTCCAGGTGATCACAGCTGGTCTGATGGTTCCCAAAGCCAGTGAAAAGCTCTCACTGGCAGAAGGCCTGACAACAGACATAATAAATGGCAAGATCTACCAACATTTAGAGGAACTGCAGGATGCTGTCGAGCTGATCGAGAACATGCAACTCAAAGGTAGCCCGTTTCATCCTGTTGTTGCTGCCATCGAAAATGGAATCATCAGTGAAACTGCTGGGCTAAAAATAGCACAAATACAGCTTCTCACTGGAAGCTTTATAGATCCTTCCAGCCATGAGCAAATTGGTTTAGAAGATGCTCTTCAAAAAGGCATCATTACCAGTCATTTTCATGAAAAGTTGGTATCTTGCTTGAACTCTTGTGAGGCTTTGACTGACCCAAATTCAGCTGAGAAAATTAGCTTCAATGATCTGATGCAGCAGTGTGTCCCTCACCAGGAGACAGGACTGAAATGGCTCCCAATAAAACAGCTGCCAGGTGGGGTGGTGAGCTTGCAGTCAGGCCAAGAAGCAAACATCCTCTGTGCAGTTCACGAAGGACTAGTAGAAAAGGAAGTGGCAATGGGATTACTAGAAGCCCGTCTCTTTGCTGGTGGCCTCGAGGACCCCAAAAGTGGTTGCCAGTTAACTGTGGAAGATGCTGTAAGACATAATTTAATTAAACAAAATCTGGCTTGTGATCTTCTGGTCAGACAGCTGCAGACTGGTGGCATTATAGATACAGTTACCAGAGAGAGATTTTCATTAGACAGAGCGGTAGAAGGAGGCCTGGTGAAATCAAGGCTTGCAGTGATGATCCTGGAATCCCTTCATTCATTTATAGGACTTGTGAGGCCTGAGTCAGGAGAGATTGTGCCTGTTACGGATTCTCTGGAGCAAGGGATCCTAACTTCTGAGCTGGCTGATAAAATTTTAAGAGGCAGGCAAAACATCAAAGCACTTTTTATAGCAGAGACTAATGAAATCCTTTCATGGAAGAAAGCTGTCGATTGTGGAATCCTGAATAAAGATCTTGCCAAAAAATTAAAATCAACCTGCCTCCCTGACTTCATTCCAGGGATGCCCCTTTCTGGCCCCTCAGGTAGCTTCCAAAGCAGGAGCTCTTCCTCTGCTCAACCAGTAGATCATGGAGAACAAAATCAGGGTCCCTTAAGAAGCTGTGAAGAAAGGATGTTGCTCTATTTGATGACTCACAGCTGTGTAAACATCCACAATGGTGAAAAATTGCTTCTGGTAGATGGAGAGTTAAACAGCCTATCCGAAATCCTTGTGCCAGCAGAAGAAAATGGCTCTAGCATTGACCCCTTAGAAGCCAGCAAAATGCAACCCCAAGAATGGCGTGAGGATGTTGGCAGGAGTGCCACAATTGAAGAAACCGGATCCTGCAGTGAAATAATTTTAAAGAAACTTAATTCATCTGCATCAGAAAAGAAACAGGAACAAAATCTGCAACCCCACATTTGTCTACCTAGCAAAAGGATTGAACTGGAAATTGGAGATATAAATGAGTGTGTGAATGTGAAGAAACAAGAAACGGAAGCTGCTCTTGCAGGAGA